GCGCTTATAATTTTTTATTAAATACACTGGTACGTGTATAATATGTTGGTCTTCACATTTGAATTTTCTTTATAAATGTTTACTAAAATTGCATGTGTTCTAGTCTATTGAATCTTCTTTATTTCTTATATTTTTTTTTTGTGAAAATTCAACACCAAATCTCACCAATTTATGATTATGTTCTCATAAAAAATAATTTCATGTAATAAAAATATTAAAGATTCGTATATATGTGTACATGTGTACATGTGTAATTATATGCAAGAATGTTAACTAACTATACTATTTTAATTGTTGTGATTTTCTTTTAATATTCACAAAATATTTTTTTCTTATTTTATTTCATTATTTTAATTATTTTGATTAAATATACAATTTTTTTTAATGTATGAAAGTTATTCACTGCTTTAATACCGTAAAAATTTTATCGTAATATCGTAAATATATCGTATATCGTAAATTTTTTTTTCTATTATTATTAAAAATAATTATTTAATTCTAAAGAATCAACTATTGTGAATCTACTATTTTAAAAACAAAATTTTAAATATTTTATTTTTGTATTCTTTATAATTTCACGTATAATTTCCAAGTTGAGAATAAAATTCTAATTTTACGTTCTTAGGAATCAAGTTTTTTTAATTGCACATTCATATTTTGTTATACTTAAGTTTCAATCATACATTTATAATATATTTTAATGAAAAATATTATGTTAATTAACATAGAATTGGAAAAATTTATAAATTTTTTTCTTAAATTATTTTTCTGATTTCTAAATATATTTAAAATAAAAAAAAAATTATTTTATTATTACGCGATATTAAAAAAAAAAACATTATTTTCACATATTTTATTTCAAAAAATATTAAAAAATTTTCAATATTTAAAATTATTTTTGCATAAAATTTAATATTTTTAATTAGAATGCATAAAAATTTTTAGTTAAGTTTCAATTAAAAATAAATAAAATTAAAAAATATTCGAGTTATTTTCTTAAATTTTTTTTTCAAAATTATTTTAATTTTTTTTTAAATTAATTACTTTAATTATTAAATACAATTTATTTTATTATATATAGATATTCCAAAATATTTAATTATTATTTTTTTGCTATTAATTTTATTGAAATTTCCCAATAAATAATTAAAAAGCAAAAAAAATAATAAATTTTCAAATTATTTAATCAATATAATTATTGTGCTATTCACTCTATATTTTGTTGTTGCTGTAATTTAATTCCAAATTAAATATATTAAAAATAATCCCGTGTTCAATTCAAAACTCATATAAGCCACGATCGTAACTAAAAAATAATTTTAAAAAGAAATTCAAGTTATTCAGTTTTTTTTTTCTTTCCCTTTTTGTTTTGTTATTTTTTTTTTTATTAAAACATAAGAAATAATACTTATTATTAAACAGGCTTTTTTAAACACTCAACTCAGGTGAAATTGATCCATCCGCCATACTTTTGAGTATAATTTTTTTTTTCTCTATAAATGTTTACCTGTATATATTTCTATAATAAAATACAAACGCACATATTATTTTAGGTTGATTATTGCACAAAACGAAGAAATCTTAAAGAAGAAATAATAATAATAATAAAAAATAAAAACAATAAGAAAAAAAAATATAATTTTCTACTCATAAAATAAGAAATAACACAATAAATAAATACTTTTGTATTTAATTGTACTCAAAAAGAAATGAGAGGAAATTGTTTGTAAAAAAAAAAACTTTTTACTCAAGAGATTTAAAAAAAAAATTGAATACTCAAGTTTAGATTAAAGAAAGAAATTGAGAAAAGAAAACAATAGATTAGGAGAAAAATGTCTGTAAAGAGAATTTGGTAATATAATATGGTTATGGTTAATAATACAAGAGCGTGTTCGTTTTAATAGTCATTGTAGTATATGTACTCTTATTTGCATGCAAATGTTTGACATTTATCTCAATTTAGTTTTCATAGTCTACAATTTTTTGAATATAATTACCGTCTTGTTTTACATATTCTTTTTGCTGCAAATTAAAGTAATATTTATGGTTTTTTTTTCTTTAATTTTAATTAATCAGAGGGAAATTTGTATTATTCAGCTTTAATATTTCGGCAATTATATATTTAAAAATAAAGGTTATACTGTAAAGGTATAATGTGTTATATTTAAAACATACAATTAAATTATTTAGTAATAATTTAAAATATGTACTTGATTTCAAATCTAAAATCAGTAAATTCAGACCAACTTTAAATTCTATAAATAAATAAAATTCTCTATATATAATAAATTTCATATTCTATAACTATTTATTTTAAAAAAGGACTTTTATAAAGCAGATTTAAAAGCTCAACTTATCGGTCGTATTTATTATCGTAAGCTCATATTTAGGCTCATATTAACCTATATATATTGTTATACTAAAAATAAATAAAAACCAAAAATTAATAATTATCAAATATAAAAACACACCTAAAAACAAATATTTTATAATATAAAAATTTTAAATGAAAGTTGTAAAATTTTTTTTTTTGTTAATCAGGAAATAAAATTGTAATCATTGGACTAATAACTTTCAATTTTATTTTTATAATATTTTTTTTTTTAAACATTTTTACTCCATTTATAAGTTTAGTGTATCTCTTCATATATATATATGTATACCTACAAATTATGTGTATGCAAATATAATTTTTTAATAACATATAATTTAATTTCCAATATGTTAATTAAATTTCAAATAAAGAGAATAAATGGTCTGATTTAAAAACTCGATACAATTAATCCACTTCTTGCAAATTAAATAACTTGTATATACTTGTACACTCTTATACATATATAAGATAGACGACATAATTTTGCATATGTTTACAAGCTAATCTCTTTAGTATCATATACATATATGTATGAAATATGTGCATTAATTATAGAGTAGATGTAGACAGAAGCTTTATATACTATAATAGTAAATCAAATTCTATTATACTATATAATAGTAATTTAAACTTCATCATCATTCATTAATACAATCGAGATGTTAAAAAAATATATTAATTTTATTTTATTTCACTTTTGAAAGATTACTGAAAAATAAACGTAATGAAATTTTACAATAACAGAAAAAAAAAAAAATTAAAACATTTATATAAACATTTATTTTTTTTTTTATTATTTTTTAACAATTCAGTACGACATACATGTTAAAAGATATGAATATTAACGTGCGACTCTTATAATTACATTCTTTTATTTTTTAAGACTTTCACTTTTTGACCAGACATAAATTTGTTTCAGATCTTTAAACATATGTACACACACTAGTACTATAATTATAATATGTACATCTACTATAATATTATATATTATATATATATATATATATATATATATATTTTAATAATATTAGCATTTAAAATAATGTGATTCAAAAGATAAGAAATCTATTAGAGTAATCAAAATTAAATACAATTGATAATATAAATTTTCGAAATTCATTGATATTTTCTTCGGTTCATAGACTATTTTATATGAATCGAATTATGCTATATAGTTAAGAATATTACATGTATATTACATGAATATTACATGGCAAGATGTAATGGAATGAGACTTAGAACAAAATTATTATCTATATAAATAGAAGCAGAGAAGATCATGAAAATTTTAACAACATCTCGCTAAAGAGATGTTGCAGTACATGGTTACCCCAATCTAAATCTCAGTCATTTTGCTATAAATTTCTTCATCAAAAATAAAATCGAAAAAAAGGATTTCTCACAAACAATAATAATTTTTCTTAGATGATAGTTTAGTTATAATTTCTTTCTTTAATTCGGAAACTCCATAACATATGGTCTTTTATAATTGAAACAAGAAAATTAATAATTAAAAAATATCTAACAAGTTTCAGAGCACGTATTCAACATAATATATTTATAACCTGTACGTGTACATTATATATAACATAAACATTTACTAAACAAAAAAAAAGACTAAAATTAAAGAAAAATTGGATAGCTATATGTATGTATATGAAATCATTTGATTTATTGTCGCCGGATGAAAATTGTTTGTTATCTTCAGTTTTGATGCCAGTTTTTCTTCTCTAATATGGAATTTTTCTTTAACATAAATTATTTTTTTTATTCGTTTTCATATTGAAAACTGGAAACTATAATTTAAATTTTATTTATTTATTACTTACTTGTTGCATTTTTTTCTTTTCTTCTTTTACAAAAATAAATTTGTATCTTACTTTCAACTGAAGAATTAAGATATATGTACATATTTTTATATTAATTTAATTACACATAAAATCATACAAACCTGACATATTTAATTTAAGCTAACAAATAATTAAAATAGAAAATATAAACAATGTTGCATATCATATTTAATTAAAATCACATGAAGAGGGTGATTTTTCACAATTATTATGTATATTAAATTGTTATAATAATTGAAAGTAAAAGTAAGTATATATTCAGCATGTTTGTAAATATATTTCAATGTCTATTTGAATAAATATTAAAACTGGATAAAGTATAAAACAAGTTCCAATGATTTAAGTTCTTCTCTTAAATCTTTTGTTAAAATAAATAGTTAATATAAATGTTTGTACTTTTACATTTATTTTATGATATCAGAAATTTATCTCTTTAATTACGTTCAGTTTACATAAGGAAAACTTTTATATTTTATTTTGTTTTAATCATTTTATACGCACTTTTCTTGAACAGACTAGATTCTAAAAATTCTAGTGAATTTTTCATTGTCCCTGCTATATTTTGATTCTAAATAAGACTTTTATTAATTTCAACAATTGTAAAAAAGTAAAAGAATTGTAAAAGGTTCTTTTATTTACAGACATAGAAAGTTTCTTAATATCACCAATTAAAGTTTTTAAACAAACACAAAATGAAATCATTTCATAATAAAAACTATTATTCCTAAAATTGTTCCAACAAAAAAAAAATACAGTCAATCAATTTGTTTACAATTTATATTTTTAATTATACTTTTGTTATCAGAAATATTTATCATAATTTTCTAATATAAAAATACAGTAACAAACAAATAGGAAGAACTTCAAGAACTATGAATTACTTTCCTCTGAACTAGAATAATCACATACTAAAGCCAAACTTTTCGCTTCAAAATTTTCTTTTGATAAATCTTTTGCTTTTTCTTTATTTATTTTTTCTTTTATTTCATTTGTTTCTACATCATTTTGATGCTCCAAATTATTCTGTTTATCCTCTTTATCTTCTTTTACAGTATCTTCTATTGTTTGACCATTTGTATTAATAACTTCATCAGGCAACGATTCATCATTAGTTCTTTTTCTCTTAATTCCAAGTTCGGATATACTTAGTTTATTACTAATCAATTTGTGCCTTTTTAATCCACCAAAAGTTGTTATTGTAGCACTAGGTAATGCAGGTTTTGTTAATATATCCAAACGTTTGACTTCATCGTTTTCTTGTGCTGATCTAGTTTGTAATTTCATAAGTGCTGCTATTCTTTTATCTTGGTCATTTTCTGGTAACAAATCAATTTCTAAGCTACTCTTTTTTAAGAGTGCATCATCTTTCTCTTGTTGTAATTTTATATCTTTCTTTTTACTCTAAAAATAAGACAAAATATGTATTTAAATATCGATATATGTATGTTAATTTTAAATAAAAGCAAATTTAAAATATTACCCTAAAATCTGCACGTAATTTACAATTCAAATCATAATTGTCATACCAAACATCTAAATTTCTATCATATAATTTAACTAGTTCTGGTTTTGATTTTTCAGCTTTTTGTTGATCCTTTATTTGATGTTCTAATTTAAACATAGGATCATCAACTAATTTCTTTTGCAATTCTTTGGTTTCTGGTACAATTTGCTCATTTGAGTGAGGATCCCAACGATTTTCTTGTCGTCTAGCTCCGGAAACAATCACATAATCAAGATTAGCTGGATCAGTCTTTATTTCGAAATGGTTATCGCATAAATGGCATTTCATCCGAAACTGATAAATTGGTGTAGAATAGTAGTTACCAATTCTTGTTTTTTCGGCATTATACCTAACACCCATTCCAATATGATTATTGCATCCCTCGCACCATATATTATATGGCATTTCAAAACGTATTATTATAATCCCTAAATGGATTTTTCGGGCCCGCTCTCTCAAGGCATGAGTGCCCAAAAATTTATTAAGTCCACCTAAAAATGATAAATTGAAAGCAATTTATGTAAACTTAATCTCGTAATTTTATGATGAATATACATTAATCAGATACATAACTACCTTTTTTCGGATCATAATCCGGCGGATAATATTTATTTGTTCCTTTTCTTTCACCCATTTTCAAAGAATTTCACTACTGCACAGGAATACTAACTACTTCCAAAAATATTATCATCAAAGCCAATTATAAATAAACATTACTTTTACTTAAACTGACAGACTGACAGCAACACTGACAACTAATTTAGAGTGGGTATCATAAATTTGGAGTAAATATCTGTTTGTTGAAAAAATTTGGTATGATTTCGAAAATTGAAGCTAGAAGTAATTAGACGTTACATTTTGATCGTAATTTTATGCTTTATTTTGTATATACAATAGATAAATACAAATTAAGGGCTTCAGTCCTGAATCAGCTGGAAGCTGTAATCAGCTTGTAAAAATTTATAAAACATTTATGCTTCTTTAGATATAATTGCATGTGCACGCTATTTAATATAAACTTGTGAAACGCAAATAAGGAATCAAATAATCTCATAATCATAAGCTCTAAGTCACGCAGTTACATTTATAAAGCATCGCTAAATTCATTTTAAATAATTTAGAGACATGCGTTAATGACACAGTAATTTTAACTTTTTTTTTCTTAATTTGTATGGACGTATTGATGCGTAAGAACGCAGGCACACAAGCAATTTTCAGTTTTGCAAATATTTGATTGCTTATTTTTATTCCATAGATTCCATTTTCATTCCTTCAAGCGCTAACACATGTAACTGTATTATCGAAATTCGCAAGCAGTTAAGCAAACAAACCGTTTTAATGGTATTTATTACAAATTGATTGCAATTTTTGGTTAACGCAATCGATTTGATTTGAAGCAATATAGCTTAGAAGTTAAGCGCAACAATTGCAAAATTTGGGTTTTGCATTATTCTGGCGTCAAACTGCATCGAAAAATCAATTTCGAAATTCCGTAAACTTTTTAAGCCAACTGTCAAATTATTACATATTTTGTTTTTTGTTCCGTTTCATTTCAACTTTATATTTTAGATAAACGTCAAAAATCAAAACATTTTTGATTGATTAATTTTTATAACCAAGTGAAGAGAGCTTGTGTTCTGAAAAATTATCTTGAATTGTTTAATATTGCCACGTTATCTGCATAACAAATTGAAAACAAGGAACAGCATGATTATTTATACAAATGAAGGTAATCCATTTGGATTAAAACTGCTGTTATTAGTGAAATTTGCAGGAAAGGAAGCTGTACTCAAAAAAGTTAACCTTAACGGTAAGGCAATCTAACACATTTCAAGGATATATTCCAATCAAGTATTTTAATATTTTTGGGTAGATCCAGCTATAAATGCAGTTAAACAGTTGCCTATATTAGAATTAGATTCAGGCAAGCAATTATTTTCTACTGATGCTGCGGCAAGATTTTTGTTCCCAAAAGAAGGAAATACCGATTTGCGTAATCAGTGGCTTGAGTGGTCCACAATATTATTAGCACCAGCTTTAGCACATAATATGGGCGTAGGACATAGAGCAGATCCAAATGCTTTGCCATTATTAAACTTCTTGGTTAAAAAATTGGACGACCGCCTCCAAGAATCTCCTTTTCTAGCTGGGGTATACTTAGAATAAAAAATATACAATACCTAAGTATATAAAAAACAATCTCAAATTCAAATCTATTGTAGGAAAAAATAACATCTGCTGATTTATCAGTGTGGAGTTTACTAGCACCAGATGGGACTTTAAAAAATGCCCAAAATATTGATAATTTAATTAATTGGTATCGAAAAATTAAAACAATGAAAGAAGTTGAAGAAATTTTAAAAATTCAACCGTTAAATGAGTTATCGTTTGGCTCACTAAAAGATTCTAATAAATTTGGTGGTTTACATCATATTGTACTGCCTCATATTGATGATCAGTCTTCAATTTTGGCGGAAACTAATAGAATAACAGAGACAATTTCTAATGAGGAATTTGAAATTGCAAAAGATTCATTTATATTTGTTGATAAACCAGAAACAAAAGAACCTAGAACTGTTTTACCCAAGAAAAACGAAAGAAATGTGCTAATTACGTCAGCCTTACCATATGTGAATAATGTACCACATCTGGGAAACATTATTGGATGCGTACTTTCAGCAGATATTTTTGCGAGGTGCTTTATTTCATATTGAAATGCATTAATCACAAAAAAATATGTACATTTAAAATAAATTACAGATATTCGCGCCTTTGCGGGTATAATACTTTATACATCTGCGGTACTGACGAATATGGTACTGCAACAGAAAATAAAGCCCTCGCGGAAAATTTAACCCCAAAAGAAATTTGCGATAAATACTTTGAGTTACACAATGCAATATATAGGTGGTTTGGAATTGGCTTTGATTATTTTGGAAGAACAACAACCAAGGAACAAACCGAGTAAATTTTTAAATACATAAATATTTACAAAATTTTCTTAATTTGCTATTTTGTTTTAGAGTTGTTCAAAATGCATTTGAAGAAATCAATCGTGCAGGATTTATACAGAGAGAGAGTGTAGAGCAACTTTTATGTCAAAAATGTGATCGCTTTTTAGCTGATCGTTTTGTTGAAGGGACCTGTCCTCATCCTGGATGTGGATATGAAGATGCACGAGGAGATCAATGTGACAAATGCGGTAAATTAGTCAATGCCACAGAGTTAATTCGTCCACGATGCAAAGTTTGTAATACTACGCCGGTTATAAAACTGTCAGAACAGTTATTCTTGGATTTGCCTAAAATCGAACCAAAATTGCATGATTGGGTTGAAATAAGTGACGTTGGCTGGACCCATAATGCTAAAGTAATAACTAGATCTTGGCTTAAGGAGGGGCTAAAGCCACGTTGTATAACAAGAGATTTAAAATGGGGAATCCCAGTTCCGTTAAAAGGTTTTGAATCAAAAGTTTTTTATGTATGGTTCGATGCACCATATGGTTATGTGTCTATAACTAAGCGTTATACAAAAGAATATTTGCAATGGTGGCAGCCAAATAATGATGTCAAGGTTGAATTATTTCAATTCATGGCAAAAGACAACGTTCCCTTTCATTCTGTAATGTTCCCAGCTAGTTTGTTGGCTATTGACAAAGGACATACTCTTGTTTCTCATATAATGGCAACCGAATATTTAAATTATGAAGATGGCAAATTTAGTAAAAGTCGTGGTATTGGTGTATTTGGAAACGATGCTCAAGATACAGGAATACCAGCAGATATATGGCGTTTCTACTTGGCTTGTGCAAGACCTGAAGGACAAGATTCCAGTTTTAGTTGGAATGATCTAGGGGCAAGAAACAATTCAGATTTACTAAATAATTTAGGAAACTTTGTAAATAGGGCTGCGGTATTTTGTGAGAAAAATTTTAATTCACAAATTCCCCAAATGAATTTAACTAACGAAGAAATTCAATTATTGGCCTTAGTAAATCGAGAAATAAAAGGCTATGTACATTCTTTAGAAAAAGCAAGGCTCAGAGATGGAATTAGACATATATTATCAGTTTCAAGACATGGTAATCAATATATGCAGTCCCAACAACCTTGGGTATTAATAAAAGGCACGGATGATCAAAAAAGTAGAGCAGCAACTATCATTGGAATATGTTGCAATTTATCTGCAACTTTAGGAGCATTATTGTTTCCATATATGCCCAATACAGCGAGAACTATCTTTGATCAACTAAATGTTAAACAATGGCACATTGAACCGGAGTAAGATTTGTTTGATTTTGTTTTATTGAATCTTTAAAAAAATTAATTCATGAAATTTTTATAAATTTTAGTTCACCAGTTCAAAGAATGATTCTGCGACCTGGACATAAAATTGGTAAACCAGCTCCCCTTTTTGCCAAAATTGAACAAACCCGTATTGACGAATTAAAAAAGAAATTTGGAGGTGTTCAAACTAGTGAAAATAATTCAATACAAAAATCTGAAAAGACTAAAATGCAATTCACTACAATTGCTGAAGCCGAAGAGGCAATTAAAATTCAAGGGGATAAAGTAAGAACTTTAAAAACCAATAAAGTTGAAAAGGCTGTATGGCAACCGGAAGTAGACATTTTATTAGAATTGAAAAAACAATTGGCTGTTATGCAGCAATCACAGGTTTCAAATGGAATAGCTCCTCAAAGTAAACCGTCAACAACAGATAAACCTTCGGTTTCTGCTGATAAAGTGAAAGAATTGGAAGAAAAAATTGCCAAACAAGTAAGAATCAAAGTTTTGTATTAGAATTCTATACATACTAAAATTTTATATTTGGTTTTTATTTATTAAGGGTGAAAAAGTACGTGAACTTAAAGCCGCGGGTGATGCCTCCGTTTGGAAGCCGGAAGTTGAAATTTTACTTGCATTTAAAAAAGAATTATCAACATTAACTGGTGTTCCAGAACCAGCTACTGGTAAAAGCAAAAAGAAGAAATGATGTCCAATTAAGTGTGTCTCAACTCTGTGGACACCAAATTACTAAAAACCGAAAGAAGAAACATTAAATCAATCATGAAATCATTTCTCATCGTAATTACATAATTCATTCAACGCAATATGAAAAATATTTATATAATGAAATTTTGCTAAGCATTAAATATTTTTAATATTTATTATTTGATTTAAAAATATGCATATGTATTAAAAATCGCAATGTTTTCTTTTTAATATAAAACAAAAACTTCTTGTTAAGGTTAAATTATTTAAAATCAAAAAAAGCATATAAAATTTAAAAAAAAATATATGGTACATGTAGCGATGCAGTTAAATGTTTTATTTTTAGATTAGAAATCAAAAAATTTCAATTTTAATTTCAAAAAACAAGAGAATTACAAGCTTATATCAAAAATATCAAAAAACTTTAACAAAATTTTTTTTTACGAAAGGAGTACAAAAGCCTATTACGAAATTTCTCAACTGCCGACTTTGAAAGCTTGTTTGCTTTGAGTTAATTGCTTTAAGATGCTTAATAGAAGAAAGTTCTAGTTACGAGAATAATTTCCATACTTTTAAGAAGGGAACTTGAACATACATTTTGCTTATTAAAAAATATAAAAAGATATTAAAAATCTGAAAAAGTAAACTAATTAGTTCCTGTAGATCTATATAATGATACAAAAAAAGTTCTAGTAAAAGTTTAACTTAGAACTTTAAATGCACGTCTGAATTATCAAAAAACCCATTACATCACGCATTACAACTTAAATTTCAAAATCTATTTCTAATAGTATAGTTTTTTCTTTAAAAATTTCAACACTTCTACTATTTTATAATAGTTTCAGTTTTCTTTTTTTGTTTTTCTTAATTTTTATTTTTCCTAAAATAGAATTTTCAACTATTTAACCGAAATGAATAAATTTTTTTTTTGCTAACAAAATTTTGATTAATTAACAAATGAACACAATATTGAAAATTCAAAATAGCAAAAATTTTTATACAACTGTCAAAAACATAATGCGTATGTATATCACATTATTGTTTTGCAGTATTGCGTTTATGAAAATCGCTAGTTTTGTTAAATGTAATTATACTTTCTTTTAAATTTTTCCATTATATTGCGAATCGATCCATGACGCCACAAGATATATTGATAAATATGTATGTGTATAATATACAAATTCCAATATTCTCATAATTTAGCAAAATGGATTGGGAAATGTTAGGATAACTCTAAAAATCTTTGTTAGTGTTAAGAATCTTTAAAGTCAACTTTCTCTTGAGTTAAAATTCTTTGAGTACTTTCATTGTTGCTATATTAAGTACCTTTTTATTTCATGAATTCTATTTGAAATTAAATTTTTTCTATACCAAATAAATAAAATAATTTCTTTTTTTTTTTAAGTTTTAAGAAAAATATTCCAATTGGTAAGACAAAAAAAAAAGAAGCCTGTATTATCATTATCACAAAAAAAATCAATTAAAGAAATGATGAATAAAAAACTTCCTTTCCAAAAATCCAAGAATTAATGGTGGTAGCTCACAAAATTCTGAATGCTAAAAACAATGATGACCTCATATTTAATAAAATAATTTACTAAAAGAAATTCTAATTTTAAAATATTTATATATATTGGAAATTAAATTAATAAAACAATAAAATTTTATTATTTTTAAATATATATATATATATTTCTAAAAATTGTTTTTCTTTTTCACAAATTGATACTTTTTTTTTTTCATATTTTTTCAATTAAAAATTGTTTTTTTTTTTTTTTTGTTTTTTTTTTTCTTTAGAAATTGTTTACAACAAAATTTATTATTTTTTCTTTTTTAATCTTAGAACTTTTTTGTTTTTTTTTTTTTTGTTTTAATTAATTATCATATCTAATATTTAAAACTAAAAAAATTTATAATTATTTATAATAAGATATAAAATTAAAAAACATAAACGCTTAAAAATTATAATGAAGTTTTAATTTTTTTTGTTTTTTATTTTTTTTTTTTTTAATTTTTCGTATTTACTTTACCTTTTTTTCTCATATGTATATAAAATTTCAATTAATAATAATTTCAATATATTTTAATAATGTTTTTTTTTTTTTTAAACATAATTGCTTAAAAACTTAAAATTTTAAAAATGTATTTTGTGAATTAGAGCAAAATAAAAATAAAAATAAATGAGAAATTTTAAATTTTATTTTTTTTTTTTTTAAATAATAAAACTAAAAATACAAAAATGCAACACAAATAAATTATTAAAAATTTTTTTGTTTTCATCTTTCAATTTTTTCTTTCTCTTTGTTTTTTGTTAATTCTAGTTTTGTGTTTTAAATTTTTTTTTGTATTAAAACAAATTAGTGAATAGAAAAAAAAAAAAAAAACGTAAATTGTTTATAATTAAATATTATTTTTATTAAATTTCCAACTTTCTTAAAAATTATGCGCACTTATTTACAACAGAATTTTTGATTTTATTTTTTGTTTTTTTGTTTTATTTATGAGTTTTTTTTTTTTCATTTTTTATTTATATATTTTATTTTATTATTATTTCATTTATAATGCAATATTAATTACTAAATATATATAAGCATATATACATGTATGTATACATATATTCTTATATATATATATATATATTTTTAAATGAATATATGTATGTAGATATATAAATAATTTACACTCTGGAATTACTAATTAAATTTTTTGTAAATAAGAATTAATATGAAAAAGGAGACTATAATTTATTTACAACAATAGTATGTATGTTTTTTTGTGTTTTTGTTTTTTTTTTTTTTTTACCATTTTAAATAACTACCTTTGTCTTAACTATGCCTAAAAATATCTAAAATAAGTTATGAAGAGTTTTATATACATATATATATATACATATATGAATTTTATGTTTATTTATATATACATATATATATATATGTATATATATACATATACTTATTGACACATATATGTATGGATATAAGTATATTGAGATACTTTTGATAACTCTTAATTATTAATTTGTAAAAATATTAAATTTTTTTTTTTTTTTTTTAGTTTTTGTGTAGTATAAAATTACAATTTTGCAGAAACAATTAGAATTATAATGAATTTTAATATATAAATTCTATTTTTTATATATAAAATATATATATATTTTTTTTTTTTGTATAAGAACTGAAGAACAAGACATTAATTTTTAGAGCAATATTGAAATTAAAAATAAATTTTTAAACAAATTAAAAAGTAACCATGACAATAATACAAAACTTAATGAAAAAAAAAAAAAATAATTAAATATTTTTTTTTGATAATAATTTATACATGAGAATAATATTAATAATAATAGAACTTTATGCAAATATATTTATTATTATATCACATTTCTTTTTCATGTTTTTGTTTTTTCTAAATGTATTTTATTATTTCTTATTTATATATTTTACAATATATATATATTGAATATATTTAAAGACTACATTTTAAATTTAGCACTTTTATTATAATTTAACCATATTAATATGATTTTATTACTTAATAATAAATAACTTTTCCTTAATTTTTTAATACCAAAAAAAAAAAAAACAAACAAAAATTTTTTATATGTAAGATAATTTTGTACGTTGTGAATTTTTTTTTTTTTTTTTGAAATAAAAATATGATATATAATTTAATTTGTATTATTTATTGAAATAATTTTCTTTGTTTTTTAACAAAATTGTAAAACAAAAAAATAAACAAGTCAATTTTATTAAATTCCATTTTAAATGAAATTATAAAATTTATTGTGTTACAACGAGTAACCAAATTGAAAAAGTTGAATACGAAAATTCTAGTAATTAAATTTTTATTGAAGAATTTTAATAATTTTGAGAATAGAAATTTTTAAACTGAGCTTGAAATTTTAATTTTATTATAATTATAATTTTATAACAATTATTACAAAACAATATCGAGTAGCTTGGTTTATTAAATATTTTCAAATTTTACAACCAAAAGTAATTAGTTGTAAAATAAATAAGCTATATCAAACGATTTATATTAAAAAGATTATTAAAAGAATTCCAATAAAATAGTAAAGAAATAATATTTTTATATAAATCTTAAAAACTTCTGTGAAATGGAGTAAACAATTTTTTTTTTAAATAATTTCTAAATTCTTCTTTTAATAATTTCTAAATAAATTTATTCTTGATATTAAATTTAAGATTTTTAATTAATATTTTTCAATTAGAATAATTTTAATAATTTAAATAAATATTTTTGAAGAAAATTACATGTATAAGTTAATAAAACATGAAATAATTTCTTTAAAATTTATAATGAAAATAAATTATAAAATTAGTATTATCTTAAAAATTTATTTTTTAAAGTTATAAATATGATTTTCGCCGCATAAATTTAGTTACATTTTTTATTTATTTATTTATTATTTTCGTTTCATTTTGAATCAAATTTAATATAATATAATTTTTTATTTACATGAAATTATTTCTTTTTATATACATTATAGATACAAAAATGTACATATAAGTTAAGTGATATTGTAATGGTTACATTTAAATTAATTTTTGGTAAAATTTTTAAATTATTTTTAAAAAATTTTAATATAAATATTACCATGAATTTTATGAATTAACATTAAATTAAAATAAAATATTAAGTTATAAATTTTCCTAAATAAATATATAAAACATATATAATTTTTACTTTGATAATTTAATATTAATTTGTGATCTGGCAATTTATTTTGAGAATTATTCTTAATTTCGGAATTTTAATGTTACAGGAATTTACGAAGAGTTCGATTAAAACAAGTTTTTATATTAACAACACTGTCTAAAATGATTATTTAAAAAATCTTTTATTTTTAATATGAAAACAACAAAGTGAATAAAATTTATGCTTTACAATTATATTATATTATTATTTTTTTTTTATTTATCGTTTCTACAAAATTGTAATATATATGTATGTAATTAATAGATTAAAATATTAATTTTTAATTTCAAATATGGCTACTTATTTAAAATATCTACATTTTAATTAATTTCATTAAATATTCTAAGAAAATTTTACATGAAAATTTTTATTGTAAAAACTAAAATAAAAAGCAATTTATTGACAATAATATTAACTTATTTTTAAATTGAAAGTATTAGCAACCTCTCGCATAATAATTGCATATTGTTACATTCTTGCAACAAAATAATTTTACAATTAAATTTTAATTCTTTTTTTTTTTTTCTTATTTCTGGTCACTTATATGTATTAATTTATTTTAAATTGAAGTAATCATTGTACAATTAAAAATCATATTTACTATACGCTCTATCTCTCATAGTCGTTTATTTCACGTACATGATACTTACGGCTTAAATATAAATTAAAAAAGAAACAATTCTGGCAAATCAAAATAATAAAAATAATTTATATGAAATTTTAAAATATTCTTTTTTTTTTTGTTTTACCTTAATTATTATTAACATAAGATAAATTTAATTTAACATAAAAATTTTATGCCACGGAATTTCTTTCTTATGAAACTATTAAAAAGCAAAATTTTTTTCTTCTTATTTATTTAGTAGATACTGTAATAGTTTTGTAATGGGTATAATACCCTAATTACTACCATTTCTATCAAAACAAAGAAGTATATTATTTTAATTTTTTCACTTTTTTTTTTGTTTTTGTGTGTTTTTTTCGTTATTGTATTACACATTTCTTAAAATTTAAATGTTAAAATAAAAAATTACATTCTTATTTTTACTTATGAATGAAGGAGAAAAAACAAAATGAACATTTAACAGGATTTAAGAAAAAAATTTTTTTAAAATTTTTATTTATTCAATTTTTATGTTTCATTTATTTTCGTCCTAAGGTATTTCTAGAAATTGTAATATAATTTTTTGGATTTTTATTTTTACATTGTTTTTTTGTTTTCTCTTTTATTTTATTTTAATACTAACTTTCAATTCGTTCAACTTTATATCTATTAAATTTTTTGTAAGGTGTTCTTCTTAGATCATTTTCTTGAAAAATTTTAGTAACATTATTCGCTAAATCAGGACAACGACCAACTAACCAATCATTACAACGATGTCTTTGCTGTTCAGTAACATTCTTTTCCAACCATTTTGCAACAAATGCATTAAAACGTTTTTGCATCCTATATGTTACGGTTGCATGTGTCTACAAAAGTATAAAAAAAATTAATAAATGGTAAATAAATTAATATAATTTAAACATTTATTATATCACTATTATAATTAAATGGTATTAAATAAATAAAATGCCCAACTTAAACATACCTGTTTTGCTTTTTTCAATGAGTTCTTTTTATATAAAGTAACATCTTTATTCATTACAAAGAACATTTTGTACGATAATTGATTAATTTTAACTTCTTCCCGATCATTAACTATATATTGTTCATTATGACCATGACAAGTACCAATTCTTTCTGGTAATCGTCTATTCCAAAATGGATCATCGATTGCAGCAAGGTTTATTGCTGAATTTTGTTGAACACTAGAATTTATTGGTAATATTACATTACCTCCTTTATTACCATTATTATTATTGTTATTATTATTATTGTTATTATTTTTATTATTATTATTATTATTGCTATTATTACTACTACTATTAATTAAATTTATATTTGATCCATTATTATTTGATATTGTCATATTACTATTACCACCCATCATTGTTGAATTGGGTATCGTAATACTTGATGTTGGTGTTATCGTTTGTTGTTGATGTTGTACTATAGTAGAATTTAATCGATTAATTTTTGTATCACTTATAACATTTACTGTTCCAGATGACACTAATCGGGATGATGAATGTTGTTCAGTTGATGTTATTGTTGTTGAGTTTGCCATCGAGCTCGTTGTAATTAACGAATTAACTGATTGATTTATATTTTGATTTCCCATTAAATTTGTAATTGCAGTCGATGATTTTGAATAACGACTATTAAATTGTCGAATATTACGTTGTAAAAAAAGTGGTTTCCGCGGAATCGACATATTCTAAAATTTTCCAAGAAAATAAAAAATGAACATAAATTTTAATTAGGTTTTATATTGCATATATTATATTAAATAAAATTATGTAAAACTAAAATTAACAAACATTTAGGAAGGAAAATTGAGTTAAAATGTCAAATTAAAGCATGAACATAAAATATAAATTAATTATGAAGAATCTAAATACAAATACAAATTAGAAAATTTGAGAGAAAAATGAGCGTTTTTTTTTTATTAAATTATATTCAGATTATTAATTAAAATATTTAAAATTACACCAATGTTTTCAACAAAAAAAAAAGTGCATGGTTCATGATTATATTAATTTCGGTCAAAAATAATTATTCAATAGCACATTTTTCTGCCAAATGTAACAAGAGTTTTCTAAATATTCAGATAACGCTTAATTTTATCTAGTCTTGCAAAATTGCAACAATAGAAATTCTAAAAAAAAAGAAAACATTAAAAAAAATAATTTGCTGTTAAGAAAAACCAGTTTTTTATAATAAAATTAAGCGTTTTCTGATTAAACATTGAAGATGAATCAAACGTACAAACATTACGAAAGACAAATTCAAAAAATTAAAAACATATTATATGTAATCCCACACATTTAACTTAAAAATACATGAAATAAAAAATAATTTTACTTATTTTATTAATTCTTAATCTATTTAATTTTCATTGTAATATATATTAGTTATATTGATATCTATAACTAACTTTGATATTGATATATATATATTTAGCAATAATAAATTTCAATACGCCAAGAATAATATTAATTTTAATTTTCTGACAAAATTATTTTATTTAAATTAGATATTATTAAAATTTTTTTTTTTACTAAAATTGCCTCAAATTAATTTTGTTTGATTACGTTTCAATTAAAAATTGATTCGTAAGTGTTTTTATTTCAAATAAATTGCTATATTTTTATTAAATCAGAAATTGAATACAATTCGTCGCTAATTATTTTTAGTTAAAAATATATATATATAAAAATACTACATTATTTGAAAAATATAATCAATAGAAATATGTATAATAATGAAGAGATGACCATAAGATGACCATTATATTGAAAATATGAAATTATTTATTTTAAAATTCAAATTCAATTTGTTTAAATATTGCAGAATATAGAATAATTACAAAGTAAAAATTAATTGAAATAATTTTCTATAAATTATTATTATTTTTTAATATTATATCGAAAAATTATTGATTCGCTATTCAAGGCATAAAAGATTATTAAACAGTATCCATATTTGGAAATAAAATCGAAATTTTATATGAAAACAAACTCTTCTGATTTTTTTTTGAAGTGATAAAAATTCTAATATTATGATTATTCTGATATTAAAATTAATCTTGTATTGATATGAGTAATAAATTTAAGATTTTTTAATTTTCTACAGAAGAATTAATTTTAATATAAAAATAAATGTTATTAATTTTAATATTTTAACATATTTCAGTTATTTATTTAGTTTTATTTTTTTTTTAATATTATTTTTTTTTATTTTTTGTACCAGGTCAATAAAATTTATTGATACAGAAATTTTGAAAGTAATTGATCTTAATTTAAAAAAGAAAAAAGTATAATATATTATCTATAACAAATACTCATATGTATATACATATATAAATAATAAAGAATTAAATTATATAAAAAATAATTATAAATATTATATTTTGTATATACATATGTATATTTAAAATTTAATTTATTGTATTTCATAATTATATTCTTAATACTAATTGTTTGAACGAAAAAAAAAATCAAATTTTCTTAATTACAGAAATTAAAAATAAATCAATAATTTTTTTTTTTTCAAATTTAAATTACTATTTTTTCAAAATTCTTATAATTAAAAGTAAATTTCCAATCACTTTTTTAATTTAATAGAAAAGAATAACTACATATAGATTAAACTAATTAAAAAATTAAATAAAATTAAAAAAAATATTAAGTAATAAAAAAAATAATGTTGCTACATACAATGGAATGATTTTAAAATTTTGTAAATTTTTTTAAAAAAAATTATAATAAAAAACATTTATCATGTTAAAACTTTAAATAAGTTTTATAGTATCTATCACCTATAATCTATTGCATATATCATTGGTTGAAATGATGGAATATTATTCAAAAATTTTTTAATTTTTAGAATAAAATGATTAATTTGGAAATTAGAAATTCTATAATGAAAGCTTCCATAATTTTAAATAATGTTACTATTTGCCACAAGTGACCTTTCAAAATGAATATAATAGGTGTATAAATTTGAAAATCTTATAGAAAATTTCAATTATAAATAAAATCAATAATAATTATTATTTTCATATTTTTTTGATATCTTTTATTATTGACTTAAAAATTTCACTGTATTAATATACAATCCGTTAATTTAATTACAATTCATAATCTAAATTGTACATTAACACTATGTATTATTGCAATTTATTAAGTCATATTATTATAAAAAAAATTGTATAGTGATAGTTAGCTATCAAAATTACTTGTTTCAACAATATTATTATTGACATTTTACTTAAACTGCTATTTATCACATTTATGTGTCATATAATTATTAAATTATATTAATTAGCTTTAATATAAAACTATAAAATAAATATAAAAAATTAAAATTTATTATTTTTAAATATTTAACATGATAAATGAAATATTGATGAAAATTACTATACAAATATTATATAAATTTATTATTAAAATTATCCCATTATACGTGTATATAACCTAAAATTAAAATTAAAATTAAAATTAATATTAAAATTGAAATAATAATAATAATAATAATAATAACAATAATAATGATAAATTATTCTAATTTAAAAGCTTATTTCATAATTTTAAATAATAAATTTTCAACAGTACTTAAAAATTAAAAAATAAAAAAATTTGTTCTCAAAAATTAGTAAGAATAAGAAAATCTTAAGTAAATATATTTTTAAATTAATGAATAGTAAACAATAGAAAATGTTTTATAAAAAAGAACGACTAAAATTGCAATTAGATTTTTTTTTTTTTTTTATAAATTAACGTTATATTTTTTATTTTTTTTTTTTTTGTGTGAAATAATATTATGGACGAAATTTAAACTTACCTTTTTAAGGGCATTTATTTTTTTATATCTTATTATAGTTTATTGTAATATTATTGTTTCAATAAGTCCGATATTCCGATATATAAATTTTTTTTTTTTTTTAATTCAATAGACAAATTCAATAGATAAAAAAAACTAATTTTGAAAATGATTGAAAATAAACAAAATGAGAAAAAATAAAACATAAAATTTTAAAAAAGGACGAAAAAAAAAAAAAGAATGTTAACGAGTCCAGCAACTTCTGTCTTTAAAGTAAATAAATGAGTTTAATAGGAAATTATATAAAAAATTTTACCTAAAATTACAAAAACAAAAAAAAAACAGAGAAATTAAAAATTGAATTTTATTCTTATTTAATTTTTGTTTTTTTTTTTTTTTTATTCAAAAACAGAATAACAAGAAAATAAAGAAAGAAAAAATCATAAAAAACAAATTATTTTAATCATAAAAAAAAAAGGAATAGAAAAGAATTATTTTAAATTAAAACTGATTTGATTTCTCTTAATAAATATTGAATATTTTTAAATAGCGATTGCAGACAGGTGATTGATTCTTTTTTTTTGTTGATTTTATATTAATTTATGTATCTATATAAATTATTCACATATATATATATTAATATTTTCTTTTCGAATGAATTTAAGATGAAATACCACGAACGCTTGATGTTGTTTGATTTTTATTTGTTTTGGATTTTTTACAATTTTTTGGGATATTCAACAACAACCCTCGAACCTGTGGACAAAAATTACAAAAAAAAAAAAACATTTGTTTTTCTTGTGTCACAAAAAACATTTGCAATTTTTAAAAATAAATAAATAAAAAATCTTTTAACTTTTTTTTTTTTCTTCTCTAAAGATAATTGGGAATTATAAAATATATTAAAAAAAAAAAAAAAAGAAATTTTAATTAAAAATAAGTATAACATTTCCTCCCAGTTATTATTAAAATAACTATATAGTTATCATATCATATACATATATATATTTTTTTTAATATTAAAAAAAAATACATACACAATGTAATTTAAAAGAAAAAACAACTTATTATTATGTGTTTAAGTTCTAGAAAAAATGTTATTTTATTTTAAATTTATTAAAAAAATAATTATTCTGATCTTTAGTATATAAGATATATATATAAAAAATAAAAGCTTAATTAGTTGTGATGGATAAAACTCAAATCATTTTCGAAGGGAATCAAGGAATCTCTTCTTTATTAAACAAATATTTTATTAATTTTTTTTTCACAGGGAATTTTTTTCTACCAACCGTTTTTTTATTTTCTATTTATTTAGAAAATAATATTTTCACTAGCGAGATTTTTATAATAGTAATCCTTAAAGAACGATAATTATTATGATTGTTAATATTTAATTGATTATTAAATGTTAAAACTATAGACAAATATATGAAAATGGTTTCTTTTTAAATTCGCTCTTCAAGATTTTTCAAATAATATAACATATTTTCAGTTATGCAAGTAAAATAGATTGAATATAAAATAAGGTGAAAATATGCCGAACCCTTTCATTCTGTGCAAAACTAAATTTTTGTATAAAAAGAAATTTAATATTAAATTTATTGGAATCATTAATGAAATCGAATAAAATCTATAGTAATTATTAATGAAATCGTATTTATATAATATTTACAATTATTATTAATCGATATTTTTTATGTTTACAATTATATTTAAATATTGATCCTTTACTAAAAAATTAAATTGTTATTAATTTCTGTTTTTGAATTTATTTCGAAACGCAAACTTATGTTTTTTCTTTAATATTTAAATGTATGTATTATTTTTTCTTTATTGTTATTTTTTTTTCAATTTGTAGATCTAAATTTAAAATAAATGTTTAAATTGAAGAAACATATTGAAAAATTCTATTCTATAACTACTTTTTATTTTATAAAAAATTGAACTTTATTTTGATTGAAAACTGACTACTATTTTAAATTTTATTGATTAATTTTTAGCAGTGAATGGAATAATTTAAGGAGAAATATCATAAATTTTAAATCCTATGATATCATTAATTTATGTTATCGAGAAAGCAATTGAATATTAACTATTTGTCGAATTTTGTTTTTCTCCTTAATAAAATGTATGCGTATGGAATAAAAAAGGATAATTAAACGAGGATAGTCACAAATTATATAACATCTTTTCATAAAACTAAATCAAAAATTAAGTCGTATTTCCTAGTCGGAAGGATATTTATTATATACACGATAGTATTCAAAATATTATTTAGCTACTACCACAAAATGACTAAAAATATTAAAAATAAAAAATAATAACAAAAAAATTAAAATAGTAGATAAGTAAAAAATTAAAATAACTAAAATTTACTTAAAATAATAATAGAAATTACCATTAAAAAACATATGAATGCAAATATCAGTCATTAATTTTTTTAAACAATTTTTATTTATTCTAATAGTTATTTTCTACTACATATACATATTTTTGTTTTTCATTTTAAAATTAATAATAGAATTTTGAGGAAACTATCTTAGTTATATTTTAATTTTGTTTTTACTCTATTTAATGTATTTGTTTTCCTTTTTTTTTTATAATTTTGATTATTTCTTTATTTAATTCTTTTTATATCTAGTTATTTATCAACTATATTAATGTTTTGAAATAAAAACTTAATGTAGAAAATGCATTTTACTAATTACTATATTACAATTAGATTGCGATTTAATTAAAATAGATAATAAAATTATAATTCAAATATTTTTTTCTCTTATTCTAAAAAATTGTATTGGTAAAATATACACAAGCAAAATTAAAATTGTAACAAGAATATTAAAAAAAAAACTTTTTGAGGGATAACATTTTTATTACAAATGTAGTATAAAAGAAAAAATATATTATTTGCAATTTATAAATAAATAAACCAATCAGATTCTTGTAATCAAAACTATATTAGATTGAGTAAGTTTAAAAAAAATTCAACCATAGGAAATGGTCTTATTTTTTTCACAAATAATATTAACAATAATATAGAAATTGTGTAAATTTTATATACATGCACACATTTCATAAATATGTGTGTAGAAAATTGTATAATCAGTAGAATACATAATAATATAGTAGTTATTATTTTAAAATTATTTAGAAAAAATTAATAAGAGCCCTACAAAAATATTAACGAGATTTAACAAGAAAAATAATTACGTTTTCATTTGTCATTTAATTTACATTTTAAATTTGACCTGGCGCTGTTTTACATATTTAAGCTATTATTCGGAATTTAATTTTAGAATTAAAAATTATTTTTGATTTTGACTAATTACAAATTATAAATATCAATTGAATCAGTAACGATATATATCACGAACTATTCAATGACCTAAATTATATTTTAAAAGAACAAAAAAAAAATTTTAATTTATCCCTCAAAAATTTATTTATTTAATTAAAAAAAAGAAACAAGTGAAAAAAATAATCTTAGAATATCTCTTTGAAATAAAATTTACATCCTGTGCATTTTTACTTATATTTTTTTATAGATAAAAAAATATAAACAATATTCTTTAATAATATAAATTTATATTAATGAATCGTATGGAATACTATTAGTTAAAAAAAAATTATTCTATAATAATGATTTTTTTATTTAATAAAATATTAAAAATAGCATGACCTTTTTAAAAAATAATGCGATATTAATTTTTCAAATTGAATAATAAAACTTAATTAATTTAAAAACAATATTTTCTTATTACTTATTCAATTAAAAATAAAACTATACAATACTTCTTAGTTTTGTTTTATCTAAAACAAAAAAAAAAGGACATATATTTTTTTTCTTTTTAGAAACTTAAAAAAATTTTTTTTATTATAATTTAACTATACAAATATGAATTAAAAATAATAAAAAAATTTTAAATAAAAATTAAAAAGTAATTATTAAATTAAAAATTGTTACAAATATTTAAATAATATTTTGTTTGTTTTTTTTTTTCTCTTTGTAAATATTTATCGCAAGTTAATTGCTTTAAGATTTACTTTATTAAACATTTATAAATTTATTTTAATAAATCTTTATTATTTTTAATATTTTACACATTTGTTTTGACCTGGTACTTTATAATGAAAAAAAAAAAAAAAATAATTTAAAAAATAAAAAAGAAAAATTGACAGGGAAAGATAGAAAAGCTGTTAGTTTTTGTTGTTATTAAAATGAAATAAATAAAATGCTTATTTCTTGTTTTTTTTTTTTGCTTAGTTTTAATTCTTCAGTAAAAATAATAATGAAAATAAAATATTTAACAGAACTTCAACAAATTTATAAAAATAAAATTAAAAAATTTAAGAAAATTAAAAAGTAATTAGCTATTGTAGAGCATTTCGTGCTAATAGACTAAATAATATTCGAGTAATTATCTGCGATATAAAAAAAACAACTTATTAATTATGAGCATTTTATTTCTAAAAGTGAAAAATTTTCATTATCTATGTTATGCAAAATTAGCACATTAAAAAATTAAAAAATGTGCAAAAAATTTTGCGAAATGTAGGTTATTTAAAATAATCCGAAATTTAAGAAAGTTTATAAAATTAAGAGAATATTTTGACAATATTATAGTAGTACTCTTTATCATAAAAATAAATTATAAAAAAAAGTTTACAAAACGTTTAATGAATATAAGTATGTGTTACTTAAAAAAAAATAAATTTAAATTTTTAACTATACAATAATAAAAAAAAAAAAAGCACAGTAAAATTAATAACACCGAAATACGTTTTTGAATCGAACTAGTCAAGAAAAAAATCATAGAAAAATAGATTGGTTTTTGTTATAAAACCCAATTCTCATTGGATCTAGATTAAAAAAATTAAGAAAAAAACTAAGCATCATTTTACTATTCTTTGTCTGAAATTTTATAATATTGCATATTGTTTATTTTATTGTTATTATTATTATTTTAACAAAACTAACAAATAAAAAAATTATTTCAAAAAAAAAAATTTTTATGTATGCTTAGGAAATTTTAAAATTTATATAATAAGAATTAAACAAAATAAAAATAATAATTATAATGTAAAAGGCAATGAAAATGCAAAATTAAAATAATGAAATTTTTTTAACTCAAATATTAATGACAATAAATATAAAAAATATCAAAAAAAAAATTAGAAAACTTAAGACCAAAATGATAAACTTAATTCCTTAATTAAATTATTATTATATACATATATATGTATGTGCATAACCGCACATACCTGTATATAAGTACATACATTTACTATATTTACAAAATTTTTTATTTACTTACCATATCATCATCTAATTTTTCTGTCTTTATTTCAACATTATCAACATCAGCCCCATTATTTCCATTTCCAGATTTATTTACATTTTGATTAATTGCGGTATTATTGGTAGTATTATTACTATTATTGTTATGATTATTACCATTATTTGAATTTGTATTGCTGCTTGATGCTGGATTTGTCATTCTATCAACTACTTTCGCCCATGTCTGACTATTTGCTACATTTTTTTCATTTTCATCATTTTCGGTGTCAAGTAACTCGATTGTGACACGACAATCAATTTTATACTAAAATAAAAAAAAAATAGTAATATTAAAAACGATTTAAAATTTAGTGTATTGAATTGAAGAATTTTCTTCTATTCAATATTATTGATTCTTGTTCCAAGAATCAAAAATGCAAAAATAAAAATTTTAAAAAACTTACAATATAAACTTTGAAACAGTTTTCATCTTGTAAACTTGTTTCAGCTTTTCTTTGATATGCTAGTTCAGCTGCAATACGTTTATTTGCTGTCCTGCAAAGACCACCAGCGCCACCTTTTCTTTGCTCACAATGAAATAATTCTACGCATTCTAATGCACCACGTTCTGTAACACAATGTTGAAGTTGCCGTACAGCATTTGATACCACCTAAAATCAAACATTTTTTATAAATATACACATATATACATATATATAAACTGTAATATAATAGAAATTTAATTTTGTTTTTATTTATATTTTAAAATAATTATTTTTAATACATATTTCGTAAATTAAATTCCTTACCCTATCTAATGTAAATGATATATATGCGTGTATACCAAACATTTCCCTTAATGAATCCTCATACGTATTTGAATCCATATTACCATCAAGAACATTCTTTAACATATCCAAAAATGTTGGATAATAATCTTCAACTTGTATTTCACTTTTTGGTTTCAGTCTTAAAGCAGTTGCTGTACTTTCACGACGATTTGTCTTATATTTCTCCTCTTCAGCCGCTAAAATTTGTGTTCGTTCATACATTGTACGCAGTCTTTCGCACAAAATAGCATGTAATCGCAGGAACAAGTACCAATTATTATTCACGAAAAATAAAGTGTAAGCTTCGTCCTAATGAATAAAACATTACGAGAAAAAAAAAATGTTAATGAAAATTTGTAGAAAAAAAAATTTTTTTATATTATTTTTATGATTTTTACCAAGTATGCTGATAATAAAATGAAATGCTGACAACATTGAGTGTTGTAGACAAATAAATAAAATTGTAAGTATAAAATTTTTTATAACAAAACTAAAATTTTGCCAAAATATAATTTTAGCTAAGTTAGCATTTATAACTAGTTCATCGTAAAAATGTCAGAATAACGTTTAGATCATCTAAATAATAATTTTGCGTAAGAGAGAACAAAAGAAAAACAAAGCAATTATTTGTCATTATACGAATTAATATATATGGATGTATATGTATGTATGTATATGAAGTGCATATATATACATATATAATACATATATATATATATGAATATATATATAAACAATTACTGTAATCACTTAATCAGCATTATGATAGTTATATAAACAATTTACATTTTTTTGTAGTTTTAAATTTTTTATTAAATTTTTTTTTTTTAAATTTTTATAAAACTTACAGTATGTTTACTAACTGCATGAGCTGGAAGCGGTGTTGAATCTGTTTCATTTTCTAATTTTATATCAATTTTATTTGATGTTAAATCACATTTATTATTACAATTACTGCTATTATTATTTCCCATTGCTATTGAATTCGTTGAAGTTGGTACAATATTATTATTATTACTAATAATATTACTATTATTGCTATTGCTATTATTACCACAATTATTAAAATCAACATCAGTAGTTAAATCCGATATACTTTCACTCTTTATCACTTTATTATCACTAGTGGAATTCATTTTTCCACTGTTATTATTACTACTATTAGCACTATTGTTATCGTTATTATTGTTATTGATATTTATGATGCGACTATCATCGCGATTATTATTATTCACATTGCTATTACTATTATTATTATTACTATCATTTCCACTGTTATTAATATTATTTCCATTGTTACTATTACTATTATTCATAATATTATTACTATTATAATTATTATCTATCATATTACTTATAATATTACTGTTGTTATCCTGATTATTACTTATATTGTTATTACTATTGCTATTATTAATGCCGCAAATTTTATTATTGCTATTGTTATTATCACTATTATTATTATTATTGGAGCTATTATTACTAATATTGTTATTATCATTAATGTTATTATTAGGGTTATTAATATTATCATTATTAATACCAATACTGTTATTAGTATTATTATTACTATTACCGCTATTTATAATAGTGCGGTAAGTATTACTATTATTACTAGCATCGTTACTTATGTTGTTATTATTATTATTATCGTTGTTAACATTATTACGATTACCACTGTTGTGATCATTATTGTTTCTATTATAATTATTACTGATAGTAGCATTGTTATTACTATTGTTGCTAGGGTCATTATTCATACCAGCACTATTACTTCCACAAATATAGTTATTTGGATTATTATTACTTATATTTTTATTTTCATTATTATTGTTACTAGTATCGTTATTATTACCGGATATATTAATATTTGTATTAATTATACTACTATTAGTTTCTTTATTCTTAAAATTGTTACTATTGTTGTCATTATTATTAATTGTATTACTATTAATATTATTATTACTATTAATATTATCAGTTATTATATTTGAAATAGTACTACTAGTGATTTTATTACTCGATAATAAATTACTGGAATTATTTCCAGATGATGAAATTATTGTAGAGCCAGATGTTGTAATTACTGTTGTTAACGACATTTTGTTATCATTATTGCCTCGTACTATATTAATTTCGCTGCCGTTGTTCTTTACAATACTACAAGGATTTATTGCCAACCCGTTTGCACTATTTTCATTTTTAATTTGGGAAAATTGAGTAGCTGTTCCACCAGTTGAGAAAGGCGTAGTTATTGAATTTGGTTCTCTCGGAGAATTCCTTCCAATATTAGTACTACTATTACTTATAATGTTACCACCACTGTCCCTTAAATCCTCAGTTTTTATAGAGGCCGACGATATTTTAAGCGATGACGAATTTGATTTTGTTTTTGTTGAATCTGAATCTGATGGGTCAACATCCATAGCTTCCTTGTCATCTATTAAAAATGGGAATACTTTTGTTTTCAGAATTGGAAAGAAATAAAAAACCAAAAGTTAAAGAAAACAGAGCAAGAAAACAATACAAACAACGTGTTATTATGACCAGGAATTTGTGAAAGGAATAAGGAAAATAGGTTTTTTTTAAATTAAAAGTAAAAAACAAATGGTAATGATAACAAAGAAAGAAAACACACGTCTAAGTTAACATTTTAAAATATTTTTTTTTTTCAAATTTAAAATTTAATGATTAATAAGCATTCATTTGACTTTAAATTTAAGTTATCATGCTCAAAAGTTATAAATTCAAACTGATAATAAATATGCAAGTTGTTTACAAAGTTTTTCTTAGTACAGTAAGAAAAAAAATGTTTTTTGAATAATTGAGAATTATAATTATTGAAATTGTTCATTATTTAATTATTTAAATGTGATTTGTGTATTAATATAACAAATATTATTACAGATCATAAAAATTGAAATAGACACCTTTTTGTAAATAATATATGAAAGTTGTAAGTTTAAATAAGTCAAAATCTTTTCATAATTTTTTGCAGTAAATCTACACAATTGAAATTTTGCACAATTTTTATTTCATTTTGCAAGGCAAAAAATTTGTGTATACAAAAATACCTAATAAACAATTTAAGATTTTAATTGAGTTCAACCAACTGTAAAGAATTTTCTGAGGAATTAATTATTAAATTCGAGTTTAAAAAGTGAAAAATAATAACTTTAAAGGGATTGGAAGTACTGGTGGTGTATACTTAGATTCTGGTATGTACACGGCCTTAATGTAGTTTGAACTTAAGTTAACACATTGAATTAAAAAAATAATTTGTGCATAATTTTTGTTTCTTACAAATACTTAGTATAATAAAGACTTTTCGCTACAACCAAACTATGTGGGAAAGTATCAACTCATATTTACAATCTTAACCTTTTTCAGTATAAAATATTTACAAAAAAGAAAAACTATTTAAACTACATTTTTCATTCATACGTTTTCGAAAAAAAAATTTACTTCTTACTCAATGTGATTAGTTTATTTTCATTAAAAATCAACCGTAAGATTTCGAAAAAAAAATTATTACAATAATAAAATAACTTTGGATCTTACCATCATCCTTTTCATCGTCACTTAATGGCTGTCGATTTGAGAAAAATAAATCTGGCACAAACTGTCTTAATATATGCTTGATTTTTGTTTTTTCTTGCTTTTGAATACCAGTTTGTCTTTTAACATGATGAATCAACAAATTTGCTGCATCATCTAATATTGTTTTATCTTTATATGGCAAAATTAAATGTGGTCCAACAATTGGCTCCGATGACTCTTCATTTTGCTCATGACGCTAAAAGTAATTTTTTTAAAATGATTATATATTAATTTTTAATTGATAACTCGTACTAACCTCATCATATAACGTTTCGATTTCATTGAATAAACTTTTAGAGCGTAAAGCTTTAATATCATTTGGCTTAAAATTGATAGCTTGATGGTCCAATGATTTTAAGTAATACTTTTCATTTTGCTCTCGCCATTGTTTATTGAAATTCTAAACACATAAAAAATTAAAAAAAAGATTAATAAATTTCGTCAAGTATTTTACAATTTCATCAATAATATAAATTATTTAGTTTACCTTCTGAGCCTCACGCCATTCTTCTTCTTTTGCTTTCAAACGTCTTAAAACTACTGGAACTGCTACAACAGGGTTCTTTTTAAGACCCTGAATAATTTCATTTGCTTTGTCACCATAAATACGTCTTAATGAGCGTTGATGAATAGTTGGTGAGCTACCACCAAGGCAATCATCTAATCTAAATCGTTGAACTTCTTCTGGAGACATACGCGACAATTTTTTTTGTACACCTTCTAATACGCGTATTGTTGAACTATTTGTTTCAATTACAACGTCTAACTCAAAACGCTCGTCTTCAGTCCTGTGAATGGCCCTTGTTTTAGATAATGTTTTTGGTTGTGATTTGAACAATAACAAAAAATGAAACAAAACAAAAGGAAGGAAAAGAAATAGACAAAGCTAAAGGCTGGCAATCAAATTCTTTTTTCTCTTTGTTAAATATTTAGTTTTAGTATTTTTGTTAATACATTTGCGTTTAGAAAAAAAATCAACAATTTTTGAACATTTACGTAGTGAGAGATGCCTATACAAAAGTTATGGTTTAATTTAATAGGTAAAATTGCAAATTTATAAATTTCTAAAACAGTTTCCAGTTAAAGAGTTAAAATATTTTTTACTATAAAAAAAGGAAACTTCTTTTTTTAAACTTTTCCAATAATTAATAATTAACAACATTTTTGTAAAAATAATGAAACAAAATATTTAACAAAAACAAAAACAACTTTAGTAAAAACCAATTCCATTGTCCAAATTGGTTACCATCATATTTACCTATATATGATTTCTTCGAATTGGGTTTTCCTTGATGTGACAAATGTAGAATCTTCACTTGCCCATGTTGGAAATGAAACCCATGTGTCATTTAAAACTTCACGGCATAACTGTGTTCTACCAGAGCATTTCTTAGGTTCTGTTGTTTTAGGAAGCGCACAATAACTAGCTCCCAAACGTTTACAAGATGATAAATCTATTTCTTGAGCCAATTCCCCACCTTGGTTACGGTCTTGTCGTTGGGCTGCATTTAAAGGTATTCCTTCTGGTGCTGTAGCTGGTCCTAAAAATTCTTGGAACCATCTATTCAATTCTGGGAACTTACTTAAAAATGGAGAAACCAATAACTGCAATTCGGATTTTGAAATTATTTCTTGGTTGAATAACGTAAGACATCGTAAGAAATTGTCATAAACTTCTGGACTACGCAAAGCTTTACGAACTTTATCAAAAAATGCGGCATCTGCTAATGTACCATATCGAGAAGCTTCTAAAAACGTCACATCTCTGCTGATTGGTTTATGACGTTTTGTTGGTGGCGCACCACTCTCATCAGGTCTTCGTGATGATATATGAGTGCTAACTAACATTCCGCTATAGCTTGGAGATTTCTTAGATTGTGATAAATTATGACCAGTAAACTTATTATTATTTTGTCGTTCTTTTTCTCTTGGCATATGATAGTCTTTATCATAGTGATCACGATCCATTCGAGACATATTATTTTGATTATTGTTATACGGCTTCATCGGCCCAGGTGCACCAGCAGGAGGTCCATGGGGTATGGTTCCACCTGGAATTTGAGAGGACATAATTTTTTTATGGTCATTGTGCGCTTTGTTCATATATTGAGTTGTTGAATGATTAGTCGCATCTGGAAGAAATTGTCCAAATTCACGTAATAAATCTTCTTGTTGATCAAATAATTTGGCAACTTGAGTATACACTTCAGCTTCCGTCAAAGTTTTTGGCTGTTGAATGTTAGCTCCCTCTTTTAAAACCTTTTGTTCTTTTTGATAAGTGTGTAGAATCTCCAGAAAGCGTTTATATTTTTCAGGTTGATTTTGAAATCGATTCTAAAAAATAATAAGAAATTAATTCATCTAATTAACAATATAATACTAATATTTTATTAGTAAACATCGTTTTTACCTTAATTTTATTGACATAGGTTATTGCGTGATTGAATTCCACTGGTTGATTTTGTTGGCCACCAGATTCACCCATTAATATAGACTGATGAGCTTGAGAAATATGATGTAAATTGTGACCACTAGCAGGTTGATTGTTTATATCGCTTATTGGAGTTTGAGGTCCACCAGAAAACGATGATGTTCTTTCACGGTGGTGTTGTGGCGGCGGTAATGATTGTTGTGCATGATGATCTCTTGAATAATTTGATGGTACTATTGTTTGTTGTGGCACAACACTTTGAGACGGATGAGCTGGAGACTGATGTGGTTGTACCGAATGTGGACCAGAACTCATAGCGCCAGCCACATTTGAAGGCGGTGCAAGCGACCCGCTACCATGCAAATTAGCCGAAATGTTACTATTTACAGACACATTACTGTTGCCTGTAATTGAAACACTTTGATTTGAAGAATGTGTAATAAGATTAACCGGGCCAGAATTTCCACCAGATTGAATTTGATGAACAACCGTTCCACTACTTGGAGTTTTATGAGTAACAGTATTTGAACTAGTTTGTGATATAAGGGAAACAGGAGCTTGATTGGTTGGTTCCCCAGGCATAGAAACTACTGGAACGGATATGCCTTGATCGTTTGATTGTATTTCAATTTTATAACCAGGAGGTAAAAACATATTAAAACCATATATTAATTCGGTATGTCCCTTAAATAAATTTGATACACGTTGAATCACACCAGGAGTATCAATACACTGAGATTTAAATTCTTTCATAATATCCAAAAAATTATTATAAATTTGCGGTTGATCCGCATATTGGAATTTAACTTGATCTAAATAACTAAGAGCATCTTCAACTTTAAGTCTTGGTGGAGGGCCAGGTGGGGGACCAGTTCCTTGTTGTACTTGTGGATTTATTTGAGAGTTAACATTTCCGCCACCAACAGAATTCGCTCCAGTAATTGTTGTTGAACCGACGGAATTGGGTGGTGGTACTCCACCTGCTTTATGTCTCATAACATTGGTGGCACTTGTTACATGAATGGGTCCACTACCAACCGATTGAACATCTGCACCTATTGGTACGCCACCACCACCAATTATAGTACCAGGGCCTCCTTGAGATTGAGATTTTAGCCCAGTATTTATTGGTGTAACATTATAAGCTAAAATATATGAAAATAATTTTTTTTTAGCTCACTTTTTAATAAGAATGCCTAATTTTTAATAAATGTTAATTTTATTATTCAAATTATATACTTACAAGTAGAATATTGCACAGTTTGAGATTGAACAACAGCACCACCACCAACACTTCCAGTAACCTCGGGTACATTTGTTGTTTTTAATACACCAGCTGGAGTTGTTAATTGATATTGTATAGTTGGACCACCATGTTGTTGAGCTATTATACGATGATGTGGTGGACCAGCTCCAGTACCAGCGCCACCACCACCACCAACAGTGCCGCCGCTTCCAGTACGTGAACCAAATTGTATATCATCTCGTTGTCGTTTCATCATTCCCATATAATGATCAATTTTTATAATTTTCTTTATAAAATTTGAATTTTATTGAAAATTTAATTTTTATTTATCTTTTTATTATTAAAATTCTCTATTAGAATTTATATGATTTAGCTTTAATTTTTTTTTTCTTGCAAATTTTTTATTTAAAATTTTATATTAACTTTTTTTATAGATATTATAATTTTTTTTTAATTTATAATTAACATTTAAAATCATTGATTTTTTTTTTTTTTGTTTTCTTACATAGAGAAATGAAAATTAATTTTGGAATCACATTAGTGACCGTTTTATTATTATTATTTGTTGGAAATAAATATTATTGAAGATGTTTTCATGAGTTTTACTCAAAGAATACATCGGAACTCTGAAAGAAAAAAAGAAAAAAATATTTTTAATTAATCAATAAAAAAATTATTATTAATTAAATTTATAATTTTATTTAATTTAAATTTATAACTAAGTATAATATTTAATGTAACAGCTTTTAAAAACCTAATAACTTTAAGAAGTCTAACAGTTCCTAAACTAAAAAATTATATGGTATTTTTATGCCCCATAAACAAGGATTTTGAAGTTTTATAACAGTAAGATAACAGATAACATTTTTTTTATTATAGGTACCTGCTTAAAATAATATTTAAAATGAAATAATAAAAAACAGGTAGGTATCTTCTACAGTAAGTTCACAATTATTGCATTATGCATAAATGTGTAATAAAAAAAACTATTATTTATATTATAATTTAATCAGAAAGAAAAAAAAAAATTTCATTTAAATTTAAAATGAATTTAAAACATAGCTTTTCTATTACATAATTGTGTGTATACATACAATGTATATTACTACTTATTTTATATTATAAATAAAATTTACATACAAAAATTTAATTAAATATCGTTAATTTAATATAAAATTTTTTTATTAGAAAACTTTTTCTCCTCTTTGTAATTGGATTGATGACGTAAGATAAATAAGTAAACAAACATTACATGATCGAAGATAAATTTAAAACAAAAAAGCTAAGTTTGTACATAGATACAACTAATGTGTACGTAAGTATGTACATACTCATGGATATAATAGATATGCATATATATAAATATATTATTTACACACATATATACATACATAATATACGTAGTTCATATTGTAATTTGAGGTTATGTAAATTATCAACAAACAAAACATGTACAACCTATACATTCATATATAACAATGTATTATAATTTTTTTTTTTTATAAAATTTTCATTTATTTGTAATAAAATAACAATTTTTTTCTATTTATAGATTTATTTTAAATATTTAAGTAAATAATTTAAAAAATTATTACATATTAAAAATACATTGCATGTAACCATTAGCAAAACATTTTCATATACAAACATACATACAAATAAACAAACAGCAAATTCTAACCTATAAAATGTTGGTATGAAAAATTTTGTTTGTTTATAAAATGTAAATGCGCAATTTATTATTAAAAAAAAAAAGAAATAAGAACAGCAAAAAAAATAAAACTAGAAAAAAAAACATACAAAACAGACAAATTTAAAAGAAGGTTAAATTATTAATAAAGCTAAAAAAAAAAATTAATTTTCGGTACAGTTTTCTTTTAGTTTAATATGTTGAATACTACTTGCTTTTTTAATTCCGTTTTTTTAGGTTATGTATGGTCACGAAACACAGGTAAATAAGTATGCATATTGTAAATATGAAAGTATTTATATATTTATACATACATATATATAGTAATAGTTTCACTATAAAAGAAATTTTTTAAGCATGAAATTTAGCTAAATTATAAATTCATAAAATTAAAGACACAAAAAATGAGAAGAAAATGGATAAATTTAATAAAGTTATAATAACAGTATAACAGTATTTTTAATCATACGAATATGAATATTCATACTTAGATGATAGTTCGTTGGTTAATAGAAAAATAGTTAAGAGGAAAAAATTTCTCAAAAAATATAATATATTATAATAATCTATATGTGTATAATAATAAATTTATATATATACATATGTATATACATATGATTATGTATTTAGGTACATAAATATACTGCTTTATTCAATCAGTTTAAAAATATTGTAATTTTAAATATATATTTTCTAAATTTATATTTTATTTACATATGTATGTACAATTATAACATTTATTTGCAACTAATATATGTAGGTATGGATGTATAAGATACATACATATATTTCTTTAAGTATAATGTATAATCATTTTCACATTATGTATAATCTTATAACATTTGTATGGACATATATATACTTATATATACAATATACTATTATGTATACGTACTTATAAATATATTTAAAATTAAATAAGAAGGGTTACCTTATCATATTCAACTACCACGTTATTATATACTGGCTTATAATATGTATACATATTATATTTATATACATATATATATATATATGCATACATATAATGTAAAGGTATAATGTAATATATGTATACATATACACATATAATGTAAAGGCAAAGAAAAAAACTTTGTTTCCTTAAAAAAAAAAAACACACAAAATTGTGTTAAAATCGCTAAAGCATATCCTAAAGGTGAAAATAATAATGTTCCGTAAAAAAAAATTTAAAAGTAATAAAAATAAACAATTATAACAGTTATAAAATGTGAAAATATAAACTAGCAGCTGGAAAAAAAAAACTCGCACTACCGAAAATTAAAATAATTTTTCTAACTTCTTATTCATTTTCAAAATAAGGCAAATTTAAATTTGTTTTCCAGTAAATCAGGGAATTCATTCATATTACAATGGCAACTTGTTATAAAACTATAAATTATCATATGTATATATATGTAGTTATATCAGTACTACATTCATATAACATTGTGGCGATTATGGTACAAGCTCTTAAAATTTTCATTCAAATTTTTATAATAACAAAAGTTTGTTAGAACAGAAATTTTAAAAAATGATTAAAATACTTAAAATTTATATAAATTTATTTGTAATTTTTTAATAACAAAAAGGAATAGGTGTCTACGCCATCTATGTACATATATTGCATCCATATTTAACTGAATAGGTACATATGTATGTCACAATAAAACTTAAAGATAAAAAAAAAAATTATAATGTAATAAAAAAGATCCCTCTTTTAAAAATTTTTTTTTTATTAAAAAGTTTATGTATGCGCTTCACTCTTAATTTTACGTTTACAATTTTTCTCTTTTCCTTTGTGTTTCATTACAAAAAAAAAAAAATTCTCATTCACTTACAAGAAAACAAAAATAAAACACAACCAACAAACAAAAGAAGAAAAAAAAAAAAGAAATAAACGAGAATAAATAAAGGTCATTGTACAGTTATCACAAATGTCATCAATTTATTATTAAGTATGTGCTTTATAAGAACATCAACACGGGAACAAAACAATTACGAATAAACGCATTACATGTAAAAAAGTAAAAAAAAAAAAAAAACAAAGTAACAAAGAAAAAACAATTAAAACAAATACTGAACATGTTCAATTAATTGATTTTCAAATTGCAATTTTATTATTTTAAAATTTAATTAATTTTCCTTTAAATTTCTTTATCAATAATTCAAAAATAATATTATTAATATAATATATATATGTATCTGCATAAATATATGCACATGTTGTAGCTATATAAAATATACAGTGTTGTATCTTTGAAATTATGAATATGTACAAAAACTACACAGACACAGCCTCACACACACATTTCATATTTAAAAAAAAAATTTATGTTTTTATTTTATACTCCAATTACCATAATAACAAGTACATATACTAAAATTTCCTCAAAATTGATAAGATAAAAGAGAAAAATTCGAAAAAAAATTAAAAACAAAAACAAATAAATATGTAGGTATTTTCATAATACCTATGAAAATGGTATATCATAAGTATCTACAGTGTGTTTCACGAATATTAATCTTAAAATTTAATTCGTAATATTTAATACAAAATATTTTCAAAAGAATTCTTATCATATCACAAAACAATATTGGAGAGGAAAAAACATTTACGGATTAAAGAATATACAATGATAATAGTAAATGACTCCGTCAAAAAATATCAGAAAACTGAGATTTTTGTAAAAAAATATTATTGAATATAAAATTATGTTTGCATTTTTTAGCCACGTTTATCGTATATCTGTAAATGTAATTATTTGTAAAACATGAGCAAAAATACGGTCACATTTGATTATTCTTACGATAAAATTTAATTTTATTATTTTTTAATTTTAGTATTCTTTTGCAATTATTGACATTGGTTAATTGTTATTGTTATACACTTTGAAAAATAAAATTTTATTTCTTTAATTTAAATTAGTAAAACAGTAATTTTTTGAATGATATAAATTGGTATGTTCATCAAATTATGTTATTTATACAAATAGTATTTTACAAAAAAAAAATTTTCGAAGAACTATTTATTAAAATTTAAAATTACCTATATAATTTAAAAAATAAAAAAAAAAAATCCAAATTTTACACGTTTTAATTAAAATAGCTCTAATTACGATTAAGTGCTATAAATACTTAAGTGCAATTATTTGAAATTAATATTATTTACAAATAAATAAAATAAAATTTAATTATATAATTTTAATCATGTTAATATCAACATTATTATTTATATATTTCATAATAAAACAATATTTTTTCACTTATAAAATTTACCGGCAAGAATTATAGCGATAAAAGCCAAGAGAGAAAAGATTAAGACTAAAATCGTAACAAAATAAAAAAAAAATTATAAATAATATCTATATAAATAGGTATAACATTAACATTGATAAAATAACATTAACATTTATGCATATAATATAATGTATGTATATTTTAAGATAGAAAGATATCTACTTGGGTATTTCTATAAAAAAAAATAATCTTTAATGTTATCCTAAACCACAAGAATATTGTTATCACAAAAAAAAAAAAATTTGCGATAATTACTTTTAGTTGCTATTTTTATTGTTATGTACTTATTATATATACATACATACACATAACATTAATATTGTTGTTTTTTATTTTTGTCTCTGTGTCATGGCTGTTATTGTTATTGATAATTTTAATTTTCTTTTTTTTCTTCTTCTCATTTTTATTATTATGCATTGTGAATTGAAAAAAAAATAATAAAAAATATTGTTATTAATAACATTTATATATGTATATACATATATATTATGTGCAGCTTATATATACACATATATATAGGTACATTTTATTATATATGCGTATAAAAATAAATTATATTATTAATACATAGTAAAATGTTCTATATATTTACAAGAAAGTAGTAAAATATAAAAAAAAAACTTATCAAACTGTATATCT